AAATACGACATACTTCGATTTTTTCGTATTTTCCGACCTGAAAAAGATATTTGTGTAAGGTAAAAAGTTGTTTTTCGTGATCAGCAACTCTCACTCTATCAAATGATGTAAAAAAACGGCAAAAAAACTTTTTACTTGAATTTCGCATTGCCGGCACCTCTTATAAACGAAAAGAGATAACAGACGAAAGAATAAAGTAAAGATGTTACTCAATGATGTTACTTCGAGTGAATAGCATGTATAACTAAACTAACAACTGCATATTTATACAAGAAATAGACAAAGAGAACGACTGTGAAAAATCTGTTGTCCATCTGTACATAGTAAAATAATAATAGTATAAAGAGAGAGAGAGAGAGAGAACTATTGTGTCGTCACTAAACAGACTGACCTATATTGAAAGCAATAGTTACATAACTAAAGAAGAAGAATGAGAAAGAAAAGCCTGGAAGGAGATGGTGATGATGATTCACTTCTTAACATCGCCACCTAACGAAATGAATGGTCCCCATTCATTGAACCAACACACGTAGGGTGAAATATGACTTGTTCGAAATATATTTGATCACTTAATTTATTTTATTTTATTTTTTTTCTGTCTGTCGACTATGCAGTCGGAATGGTGCTGTACAACCGTATAGAACGTCTTTTTCTTCCACCATACAAGCCTGTGGTGAAATAGTACAAGCACAATGTGATCTATTTTGAAATAAAATTCTTTTGAGTCAGGTGTAGAGAATAACTTATGCGTAAAATACTTCCCCGAGTTCTCCAGCTGCTTTCTCGGGGGCGAAATCTTTGTAACACAATCTACCTCTTTTTGGCCTCTGATAACCAACTGATACAACTGTCAAACATCTATGCACTACCAATTCGTTTGATCTAATGTGAGAGCTAAATCTAAATGGCGGCATAAATGTTTTCAGTATAAGATAAAGTTATAGAAATAGCTGGATTAGTGAATCCACACAAACATGTCACTCAAAAATCTACAGATCAACCGTGGTTTACTTATAAGTTAAACAAACTCCTAGTAGACAAAACAAAAAAATATAAATATAGTGGTGATGTGAAATACAATGCACACGTGATAATTATACAGAAGCCAGTGAATTGTTCCATCCTAAATACAAAAGACTAAATTCATGCCCAGTGGATGTACTTGCTCAAGTACCCTCGCAACTTTTGTTCAACGTTCTTGGCTTTTTTCACAAGTAAATCAAGTACTTGAACTACTTGATCTGTTTGTCCAGCACTTGGCTAGGTACTTGCCTAAATAACCCGCACGTATCTGAGGAAAGTTTGACAAGTAAAAAACGTACTTGACAAGTGCTACTCTTGAATAAATTCTACAAGTAGTTGAAGTATTTGAGAGGTACATGACAGATAATGTGTGTGTGTGTTGGTAGAATAATGTTTATTCTGTTGTTTTCTTTTAATTTTACAATAGCTCAATAGCTAGCGAATGAGGAAAAATTGGCATTGCATCGTACGCGGCCTAGGTCAAAACCTCAGTAGGTTATCTTGAACAATCCTAACCTAACGTATCCTACGGCTTTTTTGTTTTCAATCTACAAACATCGGAAGCGTTTTTGTCAAGGATAAGCACAAAAGTCATCGAATCTTTTACCCACAAGGAATAAGAGCGTAGATGTAATTAAAATCCAGGCATTTTCCAGTAGTTGTCAGAGTTAGCTGTAGTAATCTAATTTCTTTTTTTTTCGAATGATCTCTCAGATTCCATCATCAATAAAACACTGAAAGCGGAAGAGTGTCTTTTGCAAAAACTTAATTGAAAAAAATATCTTTTAAATTGCTAATAACACATCTAGATAAAGAATAATAACAATATAAGGATGGACACTAAACGGCTGTTAAGTTGCACTAATTGACTAAATTCTTTTCTGCACATAATACAGCATCAATAATATATGTCATATGCAACACATGTCGAGTAGTACCATTTGTATTTCTTTGACACAACATACCAGCTAGCTTTCCTTTATTGTCTGTGATTAGGGAGCCACAGAATGTATCTTCAAAACACCGATCTAAAGAATAATAGCGATGTTGCTGAAAAGGCTCGTATGAGTAAGCTGTTTCGTGTGCCACTATTGCACTTGATACACATGGATTTTCCACACTACCTGCACCATTAGTCAAGCACATTAACTGCTCATCGGTATAACCGAAGACGAAGACAGATAATCCCGGGAATACTCAAAAAGTATTAGTCAAAAGAACTGACTCATCTGATGCTGGTGTATATTTATTTTTTGTGAAAAACACAGCTATATCGCTCTGTAGATCATCATAAATACAGGTAGCTTTAACTACTCTGGATGATGATAAACATATTTGAGCTAAACTTCCACGCACAAACACCATTTGGCGAGCTGTCGCCCATAAAGCACGCTTCTTGTTTCCATCGGTTATATTTCGAAGTCCAATAAAAATACATGTACTCGTATGCTGATTTTGTCCAACAATTGGTCGCACATATCGACGAGCTTTTGATATGATTACGTTTAAATCAGAGTATAGTTATATTTTCGACAACGAAGAAGTATGCGCCCACTTCTGAACCAGTTTTGTTTGATTTTAGTTGGCACATTGCAATGGAAGTGTATATTGTTGGCTACACAAATGAGCGAACGGAAGCATTCACTAATGATTGCAATGGTACTTGCATTGAGCATGCTAATATATTAATAGTAGCGATTGACAGTTTGTGATGCGCTTTCTGGAGGTGTTCATTCCAAAGAAATAAAAGAATCTCTACAGATAGGCCCATCTGTGCAGCTACATCGATTCTATGAAATTAATGTGGATTACGAGGATAATGATATTCGAACAATTGACGAATGTCAGATGTTTTGTGGCAGTGCAGTAATTGATAAACAAGGAAAGGTAGTAAGCATACTATGCACAAACGATGGACATACAGTGTACGCTTCCTATATTGTGGATGCAGTGTCAAATGTCAATTAAGCTTAATTATAATTGTTTTCAGTTTATAATTCCCAGAAATAAAAGCAGCAGATTCAAATAACTTTTCTGTAAGAAAAGTCTTCCAATGATCTCCGAATTTAATGTGGCTCACGTGATGGTTTATCCCCAAAAGAGATAATAAGTTTTATTCCTAAAGGAGATAATCGAACGAAAAAATGTGAAAATTTTGTAATTCCAAAAGAGGTAATATATTTGATTTGTAATCAAGAACGAAAAAAAACTCAAATTTTTTGCGTCTTCAAAATATCTCAAGAACCGAAAGAAACCCTTTTCTAGAAAAAGTAGATCAATATATGTAGAATATGTGCACTTACGAGGAAACCTATCCAAGTGATACCTTCCGATTTCGTTCGTTCATATGTCGATCGATAGCGGGTATCGTGCTAGTGAAAAGATTAAAACGATTTTTCTAAATATATCATTAGTTTTAATGAAATTGCTTTTGTGGTGAGAAAACTGGATTTTACCTGAAAACCCACGGTTTTTGCGGCAAACCGATAATCCAGACTGGATTCATTTACCCATCTTTACGCTAACTGAGGACACGTGTGAGATATACAAGAACATTGTGTGAAAGTTTCATCAGATTTGAAGCTGTGCTAACTGTGTGCAGTAACTTTACTGAATACGATGTTTCAGAAAACATTAACAACGAGAGAAATATTTATTTTTTCACACCCGAAAAATGTTAAACTAAAAGCTTTTTACAAATCGGTAGAACGCCAGCTCTAAGACGCAAACGATTATATTATTTTGATTGCAATCTCCGATGAATAGTAAAAATGGGCTATTAACTACAACTTTATTATTCCGCTTGTTTCCCATTTTTCCAGTATATTCTATTTTTGTTTGACATTTAGTTGCCATATAAAACTCTTATTTTAGTAGTCAAAAGCTATCATTATACGCTTAAATTCTGTTTCAATATAGTTGTTGTACATTTCTACTAACTTAAACTCAAAATTTTCCTCTTTATATTTTTAAAAATGTATATCAAGTACCAGCTGATGTCATACCAAAATTAGGTAAAAATGAAATATGTCTGATGATTATTCGATGTTATGATCTTTATTATACAAAAGAGAATGCATCACAATATTCAAATTTGTCTGTATTACAACCAAAACGAACGTTTACGTGTTTAATTAATGTTAAATATGATACGAGCGCGGCAAATAAAACAATAGTGAGTGATGATTGCTGGAATGAACGCATTGGTGCAGAAGAACTTCATGTTCATTTTTGGTTGAAATCGGCGTTTCTCCTCAATAACTTCATGTTCATTGTTGGAGATATCGGTCTTTCCCCACAATAGCTTCATGTGTTTTGCGGACGAAATCGGTGTTTCCGCACAAGAACGTAGTATTTTTTTACCCTCCACAAGAACTGCAAGTTATTTGTTGTAGAAATCCATGTTTCCTGGAACTTCTTGTTTTCCTTGAAGGAATCCATGTTTCTTTACAAGAACTTCATGTTTTTTGGTGAAGAAATCCATACCCCTCCACAAGAACTTCAGGTTTTTAACCAGCTTTCACAACCAGCTTTCCAGGAAACCGATTGAACAGTCATTTTCTCGTATATAGACAAACATATATAGGCAAAAAATAATTCCATCAATTCTCTATCTATAGATGAAAATGACCAAGAATTGCTCTTTTCTCGTCGTGATTATTATCAGCCGTATATTTCTTCATTTATTCCGTCTTCCACTTAAATATGAAGAAATTGAGAGGAACATAATTTCGTATTCAGCATAGTCTGTTACTCTTTAGATTTTTGTTCTTTCTTTCTGGTGAGAGCAAAAATAAACTTTTTTATCCCAAGTCAATGATTGCCTATTACTAATATGTACTAAAAGCAGAGAAAAGACTGACATACCTTCATTCCGCAAAAAATTCATCGTCGATGATTGCTGAGAGTCGCTGTTCGGTACTTTGCGCGCTTAACATGTCTGTATTTACGCTTGAGGACTAGAATTATAGCAGTGGTTTATCAATCGTTGGTAAGCAACGTGTAACTTTTAAAATTTGAAACAAACTCTTCAGTTTGTTTGTCAGTTTTCTTATTTTCTTGAACTGCAGAAAATTTTGTGGTACTGCTTAAAATGGAACGTGCCACTAGATCGGATTCCCGCTGAGCTATAAAAAGGCGCAAAGCATATGTATGAGTTTTACATCCCCAGTGCAATGGGCATTGTACGTGAGAAAACATTTGCTTATTCTTGCATCCGAATCTGCCGAAATCTCGGCGTTTATAGGTTTCGGAGCAAATCTGTTCGAATACCACCAGAAAATCACTTAAAACTAACGGGTGGGCCAGATTAAAGGACGCAGTTTTGTTCTCTCGTTTTTGGACACTTAACTAAGGTTCTAAGAGTTCGTTCTACGCTCATTCAATAGAGAATTCTGCTCTATAAAGCGCATTACCTTTTTGGATTATATGTTATTTCATTATTTAAAGAAATAGCGTAAAGTAAGGACAGGTAAACTGCGACGGAAGGAATAGGTTCGAAACCCTTTTATGCCTGACATAACTGATTTATTAAACAATATTTCTGTTAGCTATTGGTCACAAGTACACAATCGTCTTCATTCATTCACATTGAAAAATAATACTTTTGCTAACATTCAATCACTGATAACAGATCATCCTACAATGATGTGGTGATTTATGTACATATTTGTGTCTGTATACTGTGTGGTTCTAAGACTTCGTTCTAACTTCAGAAAATACAGGATTTTCTACTCTGCAAAATCCTCAACATCGAACATTTACACTGCGTCGCTTGACTAGTTCTTGTCCTGCTTATATCAAAGTCTCATGTTGTCCGAAAGTGCTAATTAACTCTTACACTAAAATTTTTACAATTTAGGAGAGCCAGTGCGTACGATTAAGGTGGGGGGGGGGAGGTCCTTAAAATTTTGGTAGTAAATCGCAGTTATAATTTTTACCTGTTCTTACTTTACGCTATTTCTTTAAATAATGGAATAACATATAATCCAAAAAGGTAATGTGCTTTATAGAGCAGAAAATTTTCTATCGAATGAGCGTAGAACGAAGTCTTAGAATCTTAGTTAAGTGCCCAGGAATGAGAGAACAAAAGTGCGTCATTTAATCTGGCCCACCTGTTATTTCTAGAAAATTAAATTTCTTTGCAACTTCCTGGTTGAATCTGTTTAGATATCTATTTACGAAGAAGTCCCCCAATAGAATTGAAAAACAGCGTTTTTAATCAGATTACGGAGATCGTTCATGTTTTACTTTTTCGATGTTTTGGAAGCTTCTTCATAACTTAACGAAAACATCATGATATTTCTAAATAAATATATGTGTCTATTGATATCTGCTTCGCATTTTTCATATTTTCTTTCGCTATAGAAGTACAAAGAGTAAAGACTGTTTATATTTTCGGATTTTGTTTTTCTACTGACAAAATGGCGGAGCAGAAAGAATAAGAAAATAAGTTTAGTCTAGCATATTTGAAAACGAAAAAGGTTTCTTTCTGACTTTTTAGCATTGAGAAAACAATTAATTTCCAACTTTCATGTCTTTTTCTAAAGACAGCAAATGGACTACACGTATAACTTTCGAAGGAAGCAATAGTAAACCCTGGAATTTTTATGATTAACTCTCCAGTTACAGGCTATTTTCAATATGATCCGTAAGTGCAACAATTTTGGCTGTCCCCCTTTCCTCTGATCGATACGGTTGGAAAAATCTTTTCTTCTACCTACTTTGTAGGATTTATCGAGAAAATAATTTAAGTTTTACGCTTTAGATCTATTTAGTTTCAAAAGATGACATTATTAGAAAATCTCACCAGAATTATTCAGATTATTTATCACTGCATGAACTACATTACTCATTTTTCGGCATTAATAAACGAATAAACAGAATTTCGAATAATATTCCCTTAGGTATTCATCTACAAAATATATCTTTGATCGATTTTAACTACTATTGTACGTCTGTTATACCGGTTATTCATTGTGATCAACTGTTATCGTTAACATTATCAAGCGAAAAAGAAACGTGTGGTATAATTAAGCTATTTTGTTCTTGTTTTAACTTGAAATTCTATTCGCATCTTCGTCGATTAACACTCTACCAACCAAAATATGTTGAATTAGAAAAAATTCTTAGTCAAATAGCTTTATTGAAAAATTTGTATGACTTAAATATTAAATCATCTTCGCCCACTATTTTAGATTGTAACATACGTAAAATTATTTTATGTGATTTAGACAAATAGACTGTGAACAAATCACAGTAAACACAAATGTCTGGGCCTAACCGTACGCATATCATATGTGAACAATTTTCAACTCTTTGCATACTACTTAGCTGCGCACTGACATCTCTGATGGTTCATGGAATCGAGTTCCTATATTGTCCGATCTTCAAAGAAAATGCACTGGATCTAACAATATTTTGAAAGATTGAAGATTTATTCGGCGTTTATTTTTAATTTATGATTCGCGATCGATTAAGTTGAATGATATTTTCATTCATGAATTTACCGAGCAGCCAGTTTTATTATGTAACAGAAAAAAGCCAAAATTGTTATACCAATTGACGAAAGCGGTGCTACAAAAATATTTACAAGAAAAATTTGGTATGGCATTTTTGGAACCACCTAACTGGACGTTACATCCACATGAGTCAGCGTTAATTATTGATGGTGCATTACTATTACAAGTTACCACCTCGGGTTCCGAAAAAAACTGTTGCTGATTATGGAGCATCAAAGATCAATTCAACAAAAGATCCATCAAAGGTCAATTCAAGAAACATGATCGAATCGATGTTATTTAAGACCCGCTGATAGTAAACGATTGAAACAATTCATAGAGTGTCATGGTAGTACATTGACGTCGGCACAATATATTATGAACGAAGAATCTATTTTGTGTGTTGGTGAAGATTACAATAAACTATTACGCGACAATCGCGCAGTAGTGGCAAAGGCAGTGCGTGATGCATGGTTAAAATTGTGTCTTAAAATACCTGCTGATAAAGTTTTATATGTAGCTGGGCTAGATGAAGAGGCATTCATGATTAACAGTAGTGGTTTTATTTTAATACCGGAATTGCAATCGAATCAAAATGAAGCAGACACTAGAATTTTTCTCCATATTCAGCACATTCAATCATTTCAACACATCTCACAAGCGACCATCCAAGCTACCGACACAGATGTCCTTGTATTAGCTATTGGATTTGCGGTTGAATACAGATTGAACATTGAAGTTATATAATTTCGATTAGTTTGGTCGACTGGCACATGTGTGCCAATCAAAATCAGGTCATTTATAAAAGTTTCAACAGTTTTAGTGGAAAACTAACGATTTTCGAAGCCATTTTAAGCCGCTGCCTGGATATTTCTGTCATAATTAAGAAATAGTTACCACAAAGTTAACTAACTGATATTTATCATTTATGAATACGCAGCAGACTGTAATACACACAAAGACAGTCCATGTACACATACAAGACAGAACCGAACAAATTTCACTTTTGCACAGAAGTGCAAAAGTAAACTTTGACAGTCTGTCATATGTGGTGCACATCGATTGAGATTGTGCAATTACTTTAGAAACTATCACTCTATTTATACGAGGATTTATTAATAACGCCCATAGTGCTGCCATAACTACTTATTAGTTTTTACTTTTTCTTGGGCTAGTAGATTATTCATCATTTGTCTTTGTGTGTATTACAGTCTGCTGCGTGTTCATAAATGATGAATAATCTACTAGCCCAAGAAAAAGTAAAAACTAATAACTAACTGATAGTTACCGTTATTTCAACGGTAACTGACAACACAGTTACCGTTAAATCAATGCAACGGCAACTTTTACAGTCCTATGCGGAACAATTGCTAATCGAATGTACAAATTTACGGTCACCCCGTCACCAAGTACGTTCTTCGTCAAATATACTTTCAATCGGTTATTATGGTTCGCTTTTCTGACGAGGCGTTCTCTTAAAATAACGCTCTTCATGAATACACATCTCATTTTTTTCTAGATTTGGATGAACTCCGTACTATTCAAGCCGTATCACATTTAAGATCTGCTTCGTCGGAATCGTTCTTGGATACATTGTTACCAACAACAAATGCATTTCAATATCATTGTAAGCGCGTATCATTACAGTGCACTATTTGGCTTCAGTCATTACTTAATGATATCAGTTATCCTCCTTTGAATGGTAATGGATATTGTTCAGTTAATGGTGATATCGCCATTGAATGGAAATCAACGCCTGATACGACTCTCCTTATAGCATGCAGTTGCCAAACCTATTGTTCCACGAAAAGATGTAAATGTTTTAAATATTAACTCAAGTGTACAATTTTGTGTAAAAAGACATTCGACAACGATGGTCCAGTAGCGGTCCTTAGGTACGTATGACTGTCTTTACAACGTACTCTTTCGAGGTAACTTTGCTGGAGAAAACTGCTTTCTTCTCTCTAAGGGCACGTGCGCCTAGTACCGCGCTCGGGATGATGTACACCATTAAAACGAACCACTACGCTTGACATCTGAAACATGAAATGATCCAAATCTGTCAATGTAAATAGGGCGTTGAAAGTTAATCATGAAAAAAAATTTTCTCACAATTCAAATGTGTCATAACCATCTACAAAAATATTTTCGGTAATAGAACATCACTTTAGAGAAAAAGTCCAATAAACGCACGCTAATACAAAATGTCCG